GAGGAGCCTTTGGTTAATCATATTTTTGGCGACTATGTGTACACTGTATGTACTAGTCGATTTAAATTTCCATCGTTGACATTGTTTATATTTCTTATAATTGTTATACGGGTGCGTGGAAAACGATAAAGGCTTATTTTAAAATGAAAATGAACAAATTTCATTTTTCAAGGCTAGTAGTAACATGTATCTGTGAACAATAACGATGTAGCCATTATTATATTGAAATCATCAAATTCCATCCAATTTTAGTTGGAAGTCTGAGTGATCGATTTAACGTCAAGTTGAACTTATTCGTAAAAATCTTTGCTGAAAGAATTTCAAATCAAAACAGTCAGAATTTAAAACGTCGAGTGTTTTAAAAACACCTTGCATATCGTTGAATTTAAAAGAATCTTCGCGTTGAATGGTCGACGTAAAGAAACTCGAGAAGTCTAATTACAGAAATTGACTTCAGGAAGTAATTCCTTTTTCCATCCTCTTCTGAAATCTGACAATACCTTCTGACGGACATGACTCACCGCAAAACAGGAAGCTGGAAGAATAATTAACCGTCTAAAAAACTTCGGAATCGATACTGAGACCTTCGTAAACCTACAACCATCATTTCCAGAGAATTAGAATGCATATACTCTTTGAATTTTCTTGATTTTTTGAGGGACCAATTCCGACGAATCAAAAAAAAAATTCAAAATTTTCCATCGAATTCGGTTCGATGAACACGAACGAGTGGCAGCGATAGTTCATCGGCATGCACGCCTGTAAATAAGAGACTTGTTGCCAAATAAAGGAACATCAAAGGCTAAGTTCAGACGGGCTGAAAGGTCGACAACCTCGGCGATCAACGAAAAGCGAGCAGCAAACCACTGCTGAAAATACCAGGCGCGTTTTCCGTCGAAGCGGAACGAACTGTCGGTTTCGACGTCGTCTGCGGGTCGCGAATTTCCTCCTGTTAATGGACAGCGAAACTCGACGAAGATGTCTGGGATATTTATTGGAAAAGCAGACATTTTAAGCAGACAGGTAGACGAAGAGACGATGCTGGTAGTTGTCTACGAAGTTTCTATTCGCAACGACTGAGATTCGTTAACGTTGAAACGAGTTGTGATATTTCTTTGAGGAAATTGTGAATTCTAAATGACCAGGAGTTTATTGGGGAATACTCAGGGTGATGTTCCTCTGAAAATGATGCCAGGTGGTGAAAATTGAAATTGAAATAGGTGCAAATTAATATTTCTTGGTCGTTAAAAATTGAAGCATTGGTGTCTCTAGAAAATGTAACATTAACATATAAAGGTTGTTCTAAAGTAATAAAACAGTGAAATCTAAGGAATAATCGCGCAGGTTGCAAGTTCGACCAACTTCTTGTCATTGGAAAACGAAGTGTGTCATACTGGTATTATTTTTGCGTATCAAAAGATCGAATTCAGGTGTTTTCATAAAGAGAAAACTTATATTTATATACAAATTCTTTTGCATATAAAACTTGTACGTTGAAACTTAATAACGTAACTTGAATAGTAAACATCTAATGTAAAATTAAACGACGTAATAGTACTCTTTTTGCGATACGAATTGATATGAAGTGGTAAAAAATAAAACAAGGCCAAATGCTTTTTTATGGGACCAAATGGCAGCAAGTTTCGATCAGATTGGTAGCCATCTTGGCGTAATCGGTAAAAAACAAAATATACACGTGTCGAATTGAGTAATCTCCTTCTTTTCGAAGTTGGTTAAAAATACCGATATTTTACCAGTATTTGTAATACCGATTCAAACTCTGATTCGAAGAGCCTGTCGATTTAAATCCCCTGGCTCTTTGTCAGCGGAACTCGAAGACCTGGAAGAGGTACCTGGGTGTGCTTGAAAGCATGGGTTCCGTTTTCGGGGGGCCTCGAAACGATACCTGAGACAGGGATTGCTTGGAATTCTTGGCTCGTGCTTCCGTATCTGAATAGAAGTCCCACGGAGGGTATTGTGTCGTGAACACAAAACTCGAAACGATTCGTGATTCAGCTCGATACCTCGATATCGGAGACAGGAAACAGGGTATCTAACTTATTGTTAGCATTGTTCAATTAAAGACCGACGTTCACGGAAAACAGTACTTTATTATAAATTTCAACGTGTCGTTACAAACTGATCTGGCCGTGGTAAAACTGACAACTGACTTGGAGGATGGACCTTTTATTATGGGTTTCGGAAACTAGACTTTGGGCTAAGACTACCATATACAGGGTGTTCAGGCTTCACTAGGCAACGTTTTTCTCGTAAATGGTACATATGGCAAAAAACTGAAAGAGGAAAAAGTGATACTGTTTTTTTTATGTGCAATGTAACCAGGGTAGATAAGTCTTTCGTATTTATACTCTTTTCTGAGAAATGAAGGTGACCTTCAAAGTGAAATTACTCGTTACCTATTAGGTTTAGGGCTAATAAAGGTCAATACTTTTTTATTTAGAATCCGATACTCTACCATATTTTTGTACAAAAAATATAACATTCCATCTAAAAAACTGACATTTGACAAAGACATTTGAAGCACAATGAAGGTCACCTTCATTTCTCCGAAAATAGTACAAATACAAAAGATCTATATACCTGGTTACATTGCACACAAAAAAAAACAGTATAAATTTTTCCTCTTTCATTTTTGTGTCGTAAGTACCATTTACGAGAAAAACGCTGGCTAGTAACAGCCTGAACACCTTGTATAGGAAAGAAAGGAGAGTGTAGAAGCTCAAAAGTAAAAAATGAGTACTGGTTGGTGATTTGGTTAAAGTAAAGCTTCGGAATGAGCCTGGAATGAGTAAGGGAAAATATTTACTACTGGATGTGCCTCGCGGTTTTACCCGCGTGGAATACTATTTATTTTATGTCATTCGGGTTCGACTGACTCAACCGCGTGTTCTCTCGTGAATCAATAGGTGTCTGTCTTTTGTTTTCCGTAACTCGGATATTTCAATCGATATTTCTCATTGCGACTATAACGATGCCATAACTTTTCAGATTTCACATTAAAAATGTATTTGTATCAAAATAAAACGTAGCCTATGTTACTCAGGGATAGTAGCGTAGCTTTCTACTACAGAAGAAATGTTTAAAATCGACTCAGTAGTTCCGGAGATTAGCCAGAACAAATAGTCAGACGAATACATCAATTTTATTTATATAGATATAGATGAGTATACAACAGGTGAACTCATTCTCTACATAAGCTTTCATTCATTGATGTGATTCATTCGAAGCACAATTAGATTCTATTAATCTAGGTTTCAATTAAACGAATAAGGAATGAAACATGCTTCATCTCACGTTCGTTAATCGTTACTTTTTATCTAGATGATAATTCTCCTACCTCTCTACACTGCGAAGACGTTAAATCGAGTATCGGTGACTCAACAGTGATAAGTCGTTGTTTAGTTGCGTTAAACGCATCACGCGTGGAGATTGATGAACGTTGATTGCGACTGAAAAGTGATATTTTTGCATTTCCCTTGACGTGGATCGAAAATACGACGAAAGTGTTTAGCGAAGAGACAGGATGAATTTGCGTGCAATGTGTTACGGTTTTGCTTCCACGACGGAGATCCCCGACGCTTGATCTTTTCCGTCGCGGAATTCGCGTACACGAGGAAATATCTGCTGTGTTCTCTCACGCGCCAGTGTTCGAATGACCAGGAGAAAAATGTGTATAAAACCGATGGAGGAGAACGACGAGGAGAAGGTTATCAGCATGATCTTGAACTACTTCACTGCCAGGGTAAATATGCGTAGGGAGACGGGGCATGTTGGATTACGCGCATAAACGATGAGGGTGTCTGTTGACATTCTCCACGCTCTGATTAGATATTTCCATATTTCCGAACCGAACACCCTGTATTTCTTTCTCGTTTGTTGAAATGTTGCGTGTGGTTAGAAATGATAATATAATATATAAATTTGTAACGTTGTACGATGCAGGAGTATTCTATATCTTCCAGTATTCTTGTATATAATGCTGAAATAATATGTAGTTATCAGGATTATGCTCTACATCGGTAATATAAATAATAACAGGATGCTAGGAATTTTTATAAATTTTAGTGAATCAGGACAAAAATTAAATTCTATGATATTTAATACAAGTAATAGCAGTAATATAAATAATAACAGGATGCTAGGAATTTTTAAAAATTTTAGTGAATCAGGACAAAAATTAAATTCTATGATATTTAAATATTTAGCGCGATTGGGGATAAAGATTCCTAATAATACGAATAACTATATGGTATTGTTAGGAATATTTTTTTAATTTTAATTTCAAAAATATTTGTTGTCGTTAAAAATAATGTTTCTTAATGATACCAATAACATTAATAAGTCGTTAGAAATTTGCCAGAGCTGTCACTCAATTAATCAACCTTGTTCGCTACAGTGCTAAAATGACACATGCGATGACGTAACTCGAAACGATTTTTATTTACAGTAACACAAAGCGAATGAACGCAATAAATCACTGAAAGTTGCACTATAAGCATTCGTGAATTTCACGTGATAGAAAGAACATACCTCGTCTTTACAAACGACACCATAAAACCATTTCGACGTTGGTAATCGCTTATATTAGGTTGTCCAGAAAGTTCGTGGCGATTTCTAAGAAAAATTCAAAGGCATATAATAAATATACATGAATTTATTGAATTACATAGATGCCATTTTGTTCCACAACTTTTCCACCGTTTAAGGGATGTATACATGTTATTTGTTTTCAACCATTTCGACATATTCAGACCTGTACCACCTACCAAAAATCGACATGAACTTTCCGGACAACCCAATAGTAAAAAGAATTCTTAGAATCCAAATAAGGATTAAAAATGTTTTCGGAAACACCTTGAAGAGCTTCCTCCTCGAACGAAGGACGACCTAGCGACACCGGAAACGAATCGAAAGCAAAGCCCGATCCCAAAACTCCATCCACGCGGTACTCATCTACCATTCGTCATTTTTATTTTCAGAATTTCTTCTCGAAGAGATCGTTCCGCTCGAACCCGCTCAAGAGAACGAAAAGCGTGACGAAGTTAGAGCGACAGAAGCAACGGGGCGCAGGTCTACGGGGTTGTCGTTCACACGAGTCCCTCCTCTGCGGACAGGCGGTGACCTCGATGGATCTCGCGGCCGTGACACCGTTGCATCCGAGCCTGCTTGGAAGACCTCATTGCTTCCAGGTCACGCCCAGCACCGGTGGGCCCAAGTATTTCAGTTGCAGGACCGCTCACGAACGGGACCAGTGGTTACACAGGTTGGTACCGTTCCTCTGTCTTCTTTTTCTTTCGCGATAAATTGCCGCGTAGGGGTCGAGTGCTCCACGAGGTCGATGAATCGGTACGAGTCTTCTAAGTGCCAAGTCATACCAGTATTGTGCTCGGAGAATGGCTATCCGTTTTGACCCACATCGCGTTTACTTTAACTTTACTCGATTGGAAGACACATGGCGCCGAGGATCGCTTGATTATTCTACAGGCGAACTGGATCTGATGCCAGTGGAATTGAAGATTTTTCTGAGTATCTGTAACGATTTCAATGTTAAGTCTTGAAAGAACACGAAGGAAATAATCGTGCAACTATTAATCCATTGAGTATCAGACGAATAACCGATGAAGGTTCCTATGAGATCAAAACTCTATTTTTAGATAACTGAAAGTTACATAAGATGAGATCTGCCGGTGTATTCACTTTAATAACCTTATCAAAATTCATGAATCCTATCCTTTATTTTCTACATCTTACATCGAGGATTAACTCGTTTAGCTCCACAATGAATAGTATAACAACCCATACATTACCATTCAATGTATAACAGCAAAATACTTGACCGTTAATAATGTTGATTTTAAAAACAAAAATTGATTCAACAGTGTACACGAAGCGTAGATTCATTAGGTTGCCCGGAAAGTCCATGTCGATTTTTGGTAGGTAGTACAGATCTGAACATATCGAAATGATTGAAAACAAATAACATGTATACATCCCTTAAAAAGTGGAAAGGTTGCGGAACAAAATGGCACCTATGTAATTCAATAAATACATGTATATATATTATATGCTTTTGAATTTTTCTTAGAAATTGCCACGAACTTTCTGGACAACCTAATATTGTATTCAAATGACCTACTCGTTTCACATTTCGCTTTACATGTTCCACATCTTCCAAAATGATAACCATCGCATCATAAGCAAAGTTTCTTCATTCTTTTTCTGTTGATGTTCTAATTTCATGATGTACGTTGAATCCAGTTTAAGGAAATCAGTTCAACCAGACGCTGAGCAAACGCGACGTACGGACAATTCCCTGCAGATTTGGCTGTTGGAAGCGAAGGGCGTGCCAGCAAAGAAGAGATACTTTTGCGAGGTATGTCTGGACAGCACCCTGTATGCAAGGACCACCGCAAAGTTGAAGGCAGACCTCTGTTTCTGGGGCGAGCACTTCGACTTCCATCATCTACCTTCCGTCAACACAATCCAAGTGAATCTGTATAGGGAGGCTGATCGGAAAAAGAAGAGGGACAAAAATGTTTTAATCGGTGAGACATTTAGCAAAATTCAAATTTGTTCACACTCGCATACTTGCCAGGAGGTTTCACGAGTAATCTTGAAATTCTATGAAATTCTCTTGAAACTCTGCATTTTAAGAATATAAAATCTTTCGCGAGGTTACCTAAACATAGTCATTATACTCCATCGCCCATAGATGTCTGATATTTTTGGATACCTGTGATGTATCTGGCTTGCATAAATTTTAGTATGCACTTAAAAATTGTGAAAATTGCGAGAAACTTTGCGTTAGACCCAAGAGCCTGCCACAGAAATTTGTTAAGGGACACCATGTCTCGCAGATTTGCATGAAATATTAACAATATTAACACTTTATCTACCGGGCTATTTAGAAACAGTCTTGAATTTAAAAAGAATTTTCTGCGGTAACATATGCCAATCTAGGCTGACGATAATTCCTCCGTACTGTTACTGGGTACATTGAAAGCCAAGTCTGTTTCCAAACACTGAACATTGTAAGTAGACAACCATCAACACAGTAAATAAATTCAAAAAGCTAAATACTGGAATTTAAAAGCCTATAAATAGGCTCCCGGTAAATAAAGTGTTAATGATAGCATCTATTCCAACCAGATCATCTAATCTAAAACACAGGAATTTAATTTCAATTTAATTATTACTTATAATTTAGATTTAAATTTAATTATCTGCAAACTGTATCTTTAAACTGCATTAAATTAATTTACCAAAACTTATCTTTGCTTTCAGGTTCCGTCAGCATACCTGTGCATATCGTGACATCACGTTATCTGACAGAGAAGTGGTACCCCGTGGTGGGAGATAAAGGTCCTTTGAAGGAACCCCCAGCGTTGAGGGTGAAATGTCGCTTCCAATCTGTGGACATACTACCTGTTCAGGTGTACCAGGAGTTCCTGGAATACCTGAAGACCGACTACAAATCTTTATGCGAGAAACTGGAGCCTGCGATTGGCGTCAAAGCGAAAGAGGATATCGCCACGGCTTTAGTAGCAGTCATGCAACGGGAAAAGAAAGCGCCACAGTTTCTCGCTGACTTGGTTATGATGGACATACACAGAATAGGTAGGAATAGGAGTACCGATCCAACAGACGCAAAATATTAACACTTTACCGACCGTTAGCCTATTAATAGGCTTTTTGCTAGGACAACCAATACTTTGTTACCTATTATCGACATAACATCTAATACTTCCATCATTATATGAATTAAAAACGTATTGTGTAAATATTAATCGAAAAACTACTCTAATGGATGAAATTGAGATTGAATAATACTAAAGTTGTCAAAATAAAGAATATTATTGAATTCATTTATGTTACACAATTTGATACAATTGTAACAAATAATCATATTGTACTGATAATAACGTGTGTTCATGATTCTTTCGATAAAGAAAAAAATAAAAATTGTTGTCAAAACAACAAAATATAATTGAATTTAATTACATGTCTAATCGTTACCGGTCGGTAAAGTGTTAAAATATCATTGTATCGTATTGAACAAGGTTGTTCGACGAAAGAAAAATGCCAATGAAACATTGCTGCCGTTTCAGTATTTAAACAATTCTTTCCTACGATTTTATCGAATCTAAACTGTCTATGTGTATTTTCATCTTTCCTTGAGATAAGTGTCCATTATAATCTCGATGACAGACTTCCTATAGTGTTCGATCTTCTTAAAAGTATAAAGCAAACGTTCTGACCAGTCACTGCAACGAATAGAAAAACACGAGCAAGAATTTCTGAAGTATCACCTAGTAAACTATATATATCTACTCGATATTCTTGCTGTAGACTATTAATATCGAACATCAAATAACGTGTATTGGCAAAGCAGGTTGAGCACTAGAAGTTAACTTCGCTGTTTTAATCCTAAATAGATATTTTTAATTAGATCTGCAACTCCTTTTCTCCCTGTGGAGGCTTCTTTCGACTTGCCTTCGTCCACTAATCGATGGTAAATATTGAATTCCAGACGACGAAAGACTCACCTTTCGAGGAAATTCTTTAGCCACGAAGGCGATGGAGGCCTACCTGAAGTTGACGGGCGATAGGTATCTGCAAGAGACCTTGGGAGCGGTGGTGAGGGGCGCGGTAGAGGGTGGCGATTGCGAAGTGGACCCACTGAAGGTCGCCTCGGTGGCAGCCCTTCACAAACAACAACAGAATCTACGGAACGCCGTGGAGCTCGCCTGGAGCAGGATACTGGCCAGCCATGCTCACTTTCCTCTCGAGTTGCGTGAATGCTTCCGCATATTCCGTGAACGTCTGGCCGATATGTGTCGCGAGGACATTGCCGACAATCTGATCTCCGCGTCTATATTCCTCAGATTCCTCTGCCCAGCTATACTCAGCCCGTCTCTCTTCAATATTACGCACGGTGAGCCCGAGACTCGATATTTTTGTTTGAACAGCTGACTGTTCTGCTTTCGACATGACATACAAATTTGTTCGTTTTTCCTTTAACACGTTGCCTGCCAAGCTAAAACTCGTAAAAATTTCAATAAAGCTAAAATTTTGTCTAGAAACTATTAAAAATTGGATAGCTTTTAACATCTGTCATAGTATTTAATTTTTTAACGTTGTCAAATTTACGAATCCTGTCCAGATTTATTTTCATTATTGTCTCATCTTTGAAATTAATTTTATTAGTTCCTTGTTTCTTCCTCACCTATTTCTGGGTGACGTGGCGACCAACGCGTTAAAGGTGTCTATAGTTTGATAAAGGAAGAGTCAATTTTAGAGATCACTTAACACTTTATCTATCCCCCAATTTAAAACCTGTTTACAATTTACAAGAAGACCGACTTTATACGTTGTTGTATATTAATCCTTTATGATACATACCATAGTGATGTTAACATTTGTCTCCGAAGTCGGTGTTATCATTATGGTAGTATAATAATCAAACAAGGCACAGCTACATATATGCTGTTGTCAACTTAATATTAATGACGAATAAAACTAAGCCACAGAAGGACAGGAAAGGAGATAGTAGACTTAAATAAAACTCTCCTTCATTTCTGTGCTTTTAAATTTTCTTTATTTACTTCTTACAGAATATCCGAACGAGAAGGCAGCGAGGAATCTCACTCTCGTGGCCAAAACGCTCCAGACGCTAGCAAACTTCACGAGATTTCAAGGAAAAGAGAACTTCATGGAATTCATGAATGACCTTTTGGAACGCGAGGCTCCATCCATGAAAAACTTTCTTCAGCTGATCAGCGTACGTATAATATACGTTCAGTTATTTCTGTGACTCACAAAATATCCTTGATATAACTATTATTCATTGTATCGCTCTAAAATGACAAAATTTTCTTCTTCCGCAGAGCTCATTCCCAAAGGACTCTCCAGCTAACAATTCGCTGGAATTCGACGGCTACATAGACCTGGGAAAGCAATTATCCCTCCTCCACGCGCTTCTACGAGAAAGTTTAGTCACGATTGCTTCGTCATCGTCGCCCCTGCCCCCACCGAAACTGCCAGAGATCTTGGAAAGGATTTCCCTAGCTTTGGACCAACCAGGTCCGAGTCCCGTGCCAGCTTCCCATCGTTACCCGAACTTGCAGAACAATATCTTTCGTTACAACGATCCCACAATCGCGAACAGCAACACGAATCTCTCTGTGTCAGCCACGTCGACTCTGAGCAACCACAGCACGCTGAACGGGACGATCAGAGACAGCAACGAAGTGCTGCAGTCTAACACGTTAGGTCACAACAGCTCGCGCAGTCCAAACGTCACCAGAGCTGCCACTCTGCCTCGCAACGCGTACATGCCGACTAATGGGAAGCTTCAGCTGCAAATTACCACAGATGATTATCCATTAGAACCAGCAGCCTTCGTGTCACGTTCGCCAACCCCGATTGTGAGACAACATAGGGCAATCGGGGCGAATAGAACAGGTGCAGGATATAGACTGACTGCCAGCGCGAGTCTTGCAAACGTGAATCACTGTCAAACACACCCCACCAGCCCTACGCGATCAGAAAGTCACAGTAACCTGAAGGACTCGAACTACAACATCAACACGTCCCAGAATAATCAAACGAACATCTGCACAATCGTCGCTCAGCAGCAACAGCAGCAACAGAATCACCGACACAATATCGCGCGGCTGCAAAACATGGACATCCACGACAGAGAGGACAACTACAATCACAACAACTACAACGTCTCAAGGTCAGCCAGCAGGAATCACTGTAACAAGGAGGAGAACGCGAATCAGATGCAGCATCAGAATTACAACAACGTATCGAAGACCACCGTGAACGCAAACGTAGTGGTGAATCCCTCGTCGAACCTAACGCTCTCTATCAATCACCAACCCAACAACAATTACAATAATAGCAAGATGAACAACACCGCTAACGGCAATCTGGATGAATTTTCAGACTTGCTCAGGTACGCAGACGATGAAGTTTCGGAGTCGAAATCGCAAAAGGGATCGCAGATATCGATCTCGCAATTGAGCAACGTTGCCTCGTCCGGTTATCAAAGTTTTGCTGCTTACAGTCAGAGTTCCAGCCCTGTAGATCTGAGTAGCAATAACGCAAACGCACACATAATCAGCGCCGCGCCTTTAGCTTTCGCGAATCCTGTGTACCGGATGGAACCGAATCACGGAAGAAATGGTAGAAGAGGTAGCAGCAGCTCTGAGGAGAGAGAAGGAAGCGGCGGTGGCGTCGAAGGTGTCAGAGGTGTTGATCTGAGTCCATCGCCTCCGCCTCAAAACAATGTCAGAAATCTTCAGAGGAACAGTCAGAACCAATGGAGGCAAACCAAACAAACACACAGGAATAACTCGGAACAGATTCAAGGCGTCTGCTGCCCGAAACACAGGAGGAGGTTGTCGCTAGACTCGACGCGAGATCTGTCCGACACTAGCGAAGAGGAAAATTGCACGACCAGAAGGAGCAAGTCTCGTAGTCACCGTAGCATCGAACAGGTACTGATTGATACTTAATATTTAATACTGCGTACTTGGTTTCTTTGATAATGAATAAAGGTACTAATTCATAAGGTACAAACTTTACCATCCGTATTCGATGAATCGTTTAGAAAGAAATAGCAAAAGACTGGTTTATTAGAAATATTAATTTGTTTAAAAGATAATCTTAGAAGAATTATGATGGTGTTCAATTGACCCTGATGATTATACTAGAATTATGATTATAAAATTATGAAAGTTATACAATATTAAACAAAGTTTCTTTGTATAACTTCGTCTTTCACACAACAGAGACACATGGAGTCTTGCCGACTTTATTCGTCGTCCTCGAGACCAAGTTTCGCGCCAAATCAATCATTTCTCCGCAGCACGATTTCCCAAAGTCGCAAACCGCAGTCAAAAAATGGAAAACGCCAACAGAAGTCGTTTTAAAATTCGACCATTCTCAAAACCAAAGAGGAACTTTTAATTCTCGTTTCTTAACTCTTTCCTGTATATACGTGATCGTAACGTCACTGTTGTGAATAACAAGGTTCCTCTTTCCATGCGGCTTTGACGTTCATACCTCCCTCTCTCTTTGATCTCTCTTCATCTAACGGAACGCCTACCAGAGCAATCTATTCGCGGCCTCTCTCTTTCTCGTATGTGTCTTGTAACTAACAGCGCCACGTGTCTTCGTTTCCAGTACGAAGTGGAAATCGAGAGGCTGCGGAATAGCATAGATGAACTGAGGGCACAGTTCGGCATCACCGAGGATACCGATATTGACGGGATTGCACCGGATACCAAGATGAAGAGCATCATCTCCAGGTACTTAATCCTCATTAACGCGGCCGCTAACCCACCAAACTGATTCTCTGCCTGAGTGTGACCCACCTACCCTGCCAAAACCCTGTCGAATAACCACTTTTCTCTGCGTTTCACTTCGAGGCCTTCCGTCATACTCAGTCACTTCAGATTCCATCCTTTCCTCACTTCTTCGCCGCGTTAACAGCCGAGAAAACGTCGACGTCAATCGTGAGACGCGATTCGTGAAAGACAGAGCTGGGTACCATGACGCTTGCAAGGGAATTTTTCATCAGTCCTTTCAATTTAAATAAGCTTGATCCATTTAATAAAAAAAAAACTCCTTCGTATAGATCAGAAAATAATTAAGTAACGTTTTATTTCAAAAGACAGTTCCATCACAACGATTGGTTTATATTCAGCTTTGTCTACTCGAGGATTAATCGTTAAAAGATCAGGTGTAAATATAGTTAGTAATCTGTGAAAGAGATGCCTTTTCTATGCAAGAAAAAAGAAAGACTAGTTAACCGGAAATAGAAAGAACGCCAAGGCGTAATTCTTGCAAAAAACGGTTATTATTCTCGAAATAATATGTATGTTTAATTGATTGTGTGTTCCTGTGCATTCTATCCGCTGCATTTGGTATACTCTGGCTTGATCTGGACCTTGGTGTAAGAGTCAATTATATTTCTAAGCTTCTTACGTTTTTACGTCACATTGTTTAGCGTATAATGTCTTCATAAGTTCTCTCTTGTTTTCGTAAACGGCGAATACACGCGAATCGTCGCCGTACGATCCGAGTTAGATTTATAATAACATATTTATTCATCTCACCCATCTTATACTTTGAACCACCGACGAAAGCATTATTCACCCTACGTGCATACTTACATCACCGTCCAATAACATTTTATCAGTCTGTCTCATATCACTGTTACTTCACTCCACTTCACTCGACAATCTCGTCACAATCTCGGAACACGTTTCATTCTGTTCACATGTGTTGCACTGCAATCTACTCTACAATCCACTATTTTTTTTGCGCATCAAAGTCTCTGTGTAGCGGATCGCAGCGCGGAAATGTTCAGGATACAGCGCACGGTGTATTCGATAGTCAGTTTATTGTTAGTTTCATTTTTTCGTGTTGTGAAATTTTTTACAAATAGACCAATTGCTAGATATGTTAATTTCTTTGGAGATCATTACAAGTTAATTGGATTCTTGTAAATGGTACATGTGTACAATAGCATACATTTTTGTAAAATTAATTTTCTATGCATGACATGATAGAAAAATATGTATTCAGAAAACTAAGCTGTAAGAGTTCCTTGTCATACAATCAAATTATTACAGTAAGTCTAATCCACTAATTTCAATAATTTAAATTGATCTTAACAATTCCGTTAATTTTAACATTTACTCTTGCCTACTAATTTTTATCCTTTTAGCTATTGGCGTTCTGCTTAAAAACTGATATAGCTTTAAAAAGACTGTAAAAGACTAGAAAAGAGCCATCGAATACATAAAACATTTCCAGGTATTAAATGTGCATGAATCATTATAATGTTTTAGTTACAACACTAATGCAACAAAATTGTTATTTGCAGCAAGACAAAATAGCAAAGCATTAACTGCAAGCAATTTACTTTTTGCACGAACTAATTTTCTAGTTATTTTTACTGTTGCTCGGTCGAGTGAACTGTCCTGAACGTTTCTTCCATGCCCACTACTCACACACTATGTTACAACTTTTCATTGTGGTCAATCGCGGAGGCAGGTGCCTTGCTTCTGTGATCAATGAATCTATGTATCCATGCACTACACTTAATGGTTCCTTTTGGTTGTCCAAGCATATATTTTGCACCAGACACTGCTGCTTCCTTTGAATTTCATTTCTGAGTATATCGATGTTCTTTTTTTTAAATATATGCATCGTGGTATGCTTGGATACTCTCTAGCCTCCCTGTGAAATCTCTCTGAACTTAAAGTACCAAACACGTTCATCAGCCAAGTATCTTACATTGATCTCAATCTACAAGTCAATACCACCATAAAATGTGCAAGGAGGAATATAAATATAATTTCTGTGAAGGCAACAAACATCTAGTGTTGCCTAGACTAACTTCCAGAACCATATACAAGAAAATGTTTTACCTGTCTTCTGCTAATGAAAATAATAGAAGTGGACAAGGCACATTACTTTGCATGTCTTAACATACTTCAAAGAGAACCGATTCAATTACAATTTCTTGAAACATGTTCCTCTTCTTGGTGTATCTGCCAAAATGAAAAACCTAATTATCTGCATAAGACTATAGAGAGAATTAACAGGTGAAGCTCAGTTCCATGTGTACGGAGAATCATCAAAATACTCTCTGTTTCTCCAAAGAATCATAATACGTTTGCTGCATTCAGTTGGAGAACCATCCACCACAGACTGTGCTACATTTGTCATAACTTTGTTGTCTTAATGCCATAATGTCTTATGCATGTATATGAGACAGAGTTATTACTTCAATTGTTTATATGAGTATAAGAGGGTGAAGAATTACATATACATAATATTACCCTCCCATGAAAGATCAGAGAGTTACATACATCTGACACTGATAACAAACGTGTTAACAAAGATCAGTTTAATGGAGAACCAGAGACTGTTCGGATGGTAAACACACAATCTGGATCTCCAACAACAAAAGCAGATCTCTACCGATTAAGTTCACCCAGAGACCTCTAAACCGTGGTTTTTTTTTTACTTATTGTAGGTTAATCTCTGTGGAGGAGGAGCGGCGACGCGAACAGCAAAAGATGTCGGCCGCGTTGTCGTACAAGCAGCGCGTGATCGACGCGCAGGAGCAGCAAATAGCCGCCCTGGATGCCGCGAATTCGTGTCTAATGATGAAAAACACAAGACTGTTGTCAAAATTGAGCACCCTGACACAACAGTACAACGCTAAGACCCAGTCGAGCAACGAGGCAGCAGCGTTGCTGCAGAACATCGCGGACATCGGTGAACTGAAAAGCTCGTCCTGTTGAGAATGCAGTCGTGTGTTGCTCGTTCATCGGCAAGACTATGTCGCCAAACCCGCTCCGGTGAACCAATTGGCAAAGAAGGGACGAACGGAGAATGAGTTACAATCCATAGAATCGTATTCGTACTTTTGTAGCTAAAATTCAAGCCGATTTTCGTTTCGAGGATAGTCGACACGTTGAGAAATCAGTTTCGGGACTTTGTAACGCGAGGTTACCGCGGAGTCACGCTCGGTTGCACACGCAACTCTCTGGATCCTCCCTCGTTTCATTCGTGTTTAAGAATTGGAACGATAGCTCGACAAGTTTAATTAGATCCCTGGTAGTAGCATCAGTATGAAAAAATGTATGGAGGCGATGAGTTCAGGCTGTTAAACTGTCGCCTAAACGAACAGTCTACGAAGAATCTGGAAAGATGACAAAGGTCCAAGTTGAATTGGATTGATAAGTCTTATTTAACTTGTTGAACTATACTTCTCAAGTACAAAAATCCGTGTCTCGAGGGTTTCTGAAAAGTGTTCCAGTGATTGGAACGGTTACTAACCAGAAACTAGTCAGCGCGTCAGTTACTTATAGCACAGCAAGTTTGATAAGATAATAGTAGCTAAAGTACTAAAGTAGTAGCTAACAAAGGCGTGAATGACAAGGATAAGATGAAGCAATTAAGACTATCTATTACGTCTATAATCTAACTAGTGAATCTGATATTTTTAATTATTTATAACGTAAATTATTTTTCTTCTAAAAAAAATTATGTAATCAGACAATGATGAACATTGATAATGGGATACGAATTGCAAGGTAAATTTTAAGAAGAACAACCTTTTGTCTGTATACATACTGACATGAGAAATTGTAAATAATAGCAATTATAAACACATTGCTTGATAATACTGATGTCAAGTCTGATATCAACGACTGATATCCATGACTGATAATCAAGATTTAGAGTGGTCCAATCCAAAAGCCTACAAACTGAACGCTTATCTCTAATATCTGCAAAGGGTACACCCATCTTTATTTAGATTCTTTTTACAAATTGCATAAATTTCGTACTAAAGTATTATATTCTTTATTTATCAACTTTTATTCCACAAAAGCTATAATACGCAGGAACCGGCGTGGCGTTTAACATGTTGACTTGTTGAGCTGTATCTCCTGATCTAGCAGCGTTTCGAGACATTGAAAACCTATAATCTCACGAGTACATTAGGTTTGACGAACCTAGTCAATGCAAAATTCGCTCGAGATTAATGGAAATGAAAAGGGAGGAAAGGGTGAGGCGTGTGCGGAAATAGAGGCTACCTAGTGAATAGGCAAACGGGTTAAGTAGATAATTTACGTCGACCTCCACGTGACATAGCGTTAAGTTTAATTAGAACCGGATAATTCGCGAACCTCGCGTTGTTTGTAGTTGAGAAGAGCAATGAGAGATTAATCGCCACCCGATCGTTGATCTGTCGTATTTCGCTGATTCGTCCCCCAATGGCTTTCCTCTGTTCGACGCGAACAAGCCTGAAAGTCGTCGAAGCAATGAGTGGGATAGCGAAAGGTTTGACCCTTTCAGTGTTGAGATTCAAATCGAAGCGCACGTCGTGTACGGAATTATGGCGGTCATATACGTTAAGCATAGTATTTTGATGCCCATAGGCGTTCAACGCACAGACTATATGGAATTGTAAGTGCACGCGACACTGAAACATTTGGAATTGGAATTATATTCATCTAACGATGGTTAAAACATCTAAGTAAAGGCAAATCGCTTAACCTTGCTGGTACATACAAGGTGGTGGTACAACCAAGCAGTGCGCGATTCATCATGAAGAAATAAGTCAAAAGTGCAGAATAAAATTTGTTTATCTGAGGCTTTGTTCTTAAAAGAATCAAGCTGAAAGTTGATCAAGTGCAAGTATACTGTTAGTTACTCGTAATTTTATTTATAAACATGTGCAATGTCACTGTATGCTTCCTGTTATCGTTATCTTCAGTTGTACCACCATTGCTGGAACACCTTGTGTAATTGGGATCTGATATAGAAATTTCTAATCAAAGGGACCGTTATATGCGAAAACATAGTGATTGCATACGTTAAGCATGATGATGGCTCGACGCTCATGGGTGTTCATCGTATGGATTACATTGAATTGGTTGTTAGCGCCATCAGCATTGATAGGGTCAGGATCTAGGTCTGGCAGTGGACCATAGAAGCAGAGACGAATCTCTCTTCTCCGTTTCGTCACTTCCGTTTCATTTTCTTTTTCGTTTAGCATCGTATGTACCTTGACGCACAGCCGCATGCACCGTAACCGCCTAGCATGACGTACGAAGATTGTAACATGTGTATTGCACCGATGTGCAACTGAATCCTTGAGCACCGAGTCGTACTTCGACGTCACCCTGTATATGCGTGTACATTTTTTGTAGTTTTCGTTTTAAGCGCCGCTGGGTCATCGCGAACGTACGACCTTCCTTTCATAAATGGTGGCCATTTTAAATGTACGAGTCGTCCCTCTCAGGGCATTCAACACCACCTGAGACGAAACAAGTTGATCGAAATTTAGCGTTCGCACCACGAGTCTTCGAGCGTGCGTTCGATCGCAAACTCCGATTCTTACTTTTATCGATGATATATTTATTTAGTAGTTCTACCAAAGATGAAGAGTGTTTTCGTTGTAAAAAAGAAAAAGAGAGAGAGAGAGAAAGAGAGAAAGAGGAGCAGATTTATATAATATATATTTCGTCGAGTACCGCGACCGAGGTGCTGGTGCGCGGTGCAAAAATTCGAATTTACTGCGGTCGCGTAGTGAGACTTTTCAAATGTTTTTTTTTTTTTTATTATCATTAGTTTTGCACAATCGATGCATTCATGCATGACAATTAGACGCTTGACGGTCTCGTTTGTTCGCAAGCGTTAGCGCGAGTTAATGTTTTTACATCACAGCAACAATTTGTAGCCGTTGTAGAGCGAGATGCACGCGAACAAAATAGAAAGACTGTCGTGAATGGAGGAACGATAGACTAGAGTAAATGTTGGGAATGCATGTAGAAGAGAAAAAGTGTTCGTGCCCGTAATAAATGCGTGTGTATGAATGATACTACGTGCGTGAAACGTATGAGAGAAGATTACGATTCAGTTTAATCTTATTAAAAAAAAAGTATTATCTCGTCGTCTTGTACCATAGCTTATTCTCGGGGCGTTTGTGAGAGCGTTTTATTTTCTCGCCTTTCGCCGATTATTTTTGTATAGAGATATCTATCTTCCCTATTTCTTTCACTCTGACCCATCCCTTTCCCGTCCCCGCGCTCGATCTTTACACTTTTTGTACTTTCTTTAACGCGAGCTGAAAATGTTTTCAATCGTCGTGCGTTGACGATTATGAAATTAATATATTTAATATCGTTTCCCTCTCCATTTCCCTTCTTGTTGGACGATGTAATCGATAAACGATAAAATAATCTATTTAAAATGACTTGGATAGCCTGTACATTGCTAAGTTTTTGGTATATTCGTTTCTGCAATACATCATCTGTATTTAAGCGTATAGCATCTGTTAGTAACAGTACATGAACAAATAAATATGATTAGACATATTACATCCTGCATTTGTATTTATTCAAATTAGAATTAAATAACTTGGAAACATCCCATTTCTGTTGTTTCGTGGCGAGATTTCGTGGGACTTGTTAATACGAGGTCGCGGGTTTTCACCCTTTTCAGGATGCGGAGTGAAAAGAAGGTGAGGAGTGAACAAGGCGAGAACTAGAGCTCGGATACAGTAAAGAACACCACAGATGCGCCCCTTGCATTTGGCAACCCATACGAACAGTTTTGTTGGTTCGGTTGCAATCTCGTAGGTGCAGCAGTGCCCCTTTTATGCGGCAATCTGTTTGTCTGTTTGTCGTTCCGGTTGCCTGATCGTAGGCGCAAACGTGCCACCTCTTCGCACATCA